AAGCTTTCTCTGCATCTATTGAGATGATCATATGGTTTTTCTCCTTCAGTTTGTTAATATGGTGTATCACGTTGATTGATTTGCGTATATTGAAGAATCCTTGCATTCCTGGAATAAATCCCACTTGATCATGGTGTATGATCCTTTTAATGTGCTGTTGGATTCTGTTTGCTAGTATTTTGTTGAGGATTTTTACATCTATGTTCATCAGTGATACTGGCCTGTAGTTTTCTTTCTTTGTGTATATGTCTGTTTTTTGTGCCCGTACCATGCTATTTTGATTACTGTAGCTTTGTAGTATTGTCTGAAGTCTGGGAGGGTTATGCCTCCTGATTTTTCTTTTTCCTCAGGATTGCTCTGGCAATTCTGGGTCTTTTGTGGTTCTGCATAAATTTTAGGATTATTTGTTCTAATTCTGTGAAAAATGTCATGGATAATTTGATAGCAATCGCATTGAATCTGTAGATTGCTTTGGATAGTATGGCCAATTTAGCTCTATTAATTCTTCAAATCCAAGAGCGTGGGGTATCTTTCCATTTCTTTGAATCGTCTTCAGTTTCCTTTATTAATGTTTTGTAGATCTCAGCATATACGTCTTTCACCTCCTTGGTGAGGTATATTTCTAAGTATTTTACTTTTTAAATGTGATTTAAAAAGGGATTGTTTATTTACATTTGTTTACATTTCATTGTTAGTGTAAAAAGATGCAACCAATTTCTGTATGTTAATCTTGTATCCTGCTACCTTGCTGAATTTGTTGATCAGTTCTAGTAGTTTTTGTGTGGAGTCTTTAGGGTTTTTTTTATATATAGTATGTCATCCTCATGTAGTGACAATTTTACCTCTTCCCTTCCAATTTGGATTCCTTTTATTTCTTGTCTGATTTCTGTGGCTAGGACTCCCAATACTATGTTGAATAGAAGTGAGAGTGGGCATCCTATTCTTGTTTCAGATTTTAGTGGAAAGGCTTTCAGCTTTTCACCATTGAGTATTATATTGACTGTGGGTTTGTCATAAGTAGCTTTTATTATGTTGAGATGTTCCCTCTATACCCACTTTTGTAAGTTTTTATCATGAATGGGTGTTGAATTTTATTGAATGCTTTTTCTGCATCTATTGAGATGATCATGTGTTTTTTGTCTTTTCTTTTGTTGATGTGGTGTATCCCATTGATTTTGCATATGTTGAATGATCCTTGTGACCCTGGGGTGAATTTAACTTGGTTGTGGTGTATGACCTTTTTTATGTGTTGTTGGATTTGGTTTGCTAATATTTTGAGAATGTTTGCATCCATATTCATCAAGGATATTGGCCTGTAATTTTCTTTTTTTTGGTGGTGTCTTTGTCTGGTTTCGGTATCAGGGTGATCGTGGCTTCATAGAATGTCTTTGGGAGTGTTCCTTCCTCTTCATTCTTTTGGGAGAGTTTGAGAAGGATTAGTATATAAGTTCTTTGTATGTTTGGTAGAATTCACCTGTGAAGCCGTCTGGTCATGGACTTGTGTTTGTAGGGAGTTTTTAAAATTACAGATTCTATTTCACTTCTAGTGATCAGTGTGTTCAAATTATCGATTTCTTTTTTTTTTCTCTTGCGGTACGTGGGCCTCTCACTGCTGCAGCCTCTCACGCCGTGGAGCACAGGCTCCGGACGTGCAGGCCCAGTGACCACGGCTTATGGGGCCAGCCGCTCCGCGGCATGTGGGATTCTCCCAGACCGGGGCATGAACCCGCGTCCCCTGCATCGGCAGGCGGACTCTCAACCACTGCGCCACCGGGGAAGCCCTATCTATTTCTTTTTGATTCAGTTTTGGTGGGCTGTGTGTTTCTAGAAACTTGTCCATTTCTTCGAGGTTATCAAATTTGTTGACATATAATTGTTCATAGCATTCTCTTATGGCTTTCTGTATTTCTGCAGTATCAGTTGTGATTTCTCATGTTTCATTTCTTTTGTTTATTTGGGTCTTCTCTTTTCTTCTTGGTAAGCCTGGCCAGAGGTTTGTCAATGTTGTTTACTCCTTCAGAGAACCAGCTCTTGGTTTTATTGATTTTTTTTCTATTTTTTAATCTCGATTTTATTTATTTCCTCTCTGATCTTTATTTCCTTTCTTCTGCTGATTTTAGGTTAGGTTTTGTACTTTTTTCTAGTTCTTTTAGGTGGTGGGCTAGGTTGTTTATTTTAGATTTAGCTTGTTTCTTGAAGGCCTGTATCACTATGAACTTCCCTCTAAGAACTGCTTTTGCTGCATCCCATAGATTTTGCAGGGTTGTTTTCATTGTCATTTGTCTCAGATATTTTAAAATTTCTCCTTTGATTTCATCGTTGATCAATTGGTTTTTTTAGTAGCAACTTGTTTATTCTCCATGTAATTGTTTTTTCTTGTTTCTTTTTCTGTTGTTGATTTCTACTTTCATGCCTTTGTGGTCAGAAAAGATGCTTGAAATAATTTCTATACGCTTAAATGTGTTGGCTTCTTTTGTGCCCTAGTATGTGATCAATCCTAGGGACTGTTCCATGTGCACTTGAAAAGAATGTGTATTCTGTTTTTTGGGGGAGGGGGATGTAATGTCCTGAAAATATCAATTAAGTCTAACTATTCTATTGTATCATTTAGGATCTCTGTTGCTTTATTGATTCTCTGTCTAGAAAATCTGTCCATTGATGTCACTGTGGTGGTAAAGTCTCCTACTGTTATTGTACTCCCGTCAATTTCTCCCTTTATTTCTGTTACTATTTGTTTTATCTATTTGGGCACTCCTATATTGGGTACATATATGTTGATGAGTATAATAGCTTTTTCTTGTAATGATCCTTTTATCATTATATAGTGTCCTTTATCTTTCTCTATAGCCTTTGTTTTAAAGTCTGTTTTGTCTGAGTACTGCTACCCTTGCTTTCTTGTCATTTCTGTTTGCATGAAATATCTTTTTCCATCCCCTCACTTTGAATCTATGTATGTCCTTTGCCCTTAAGTGGGTCTCTTATAGGCAGCATATTGTAGGCTCTTGTTTTTATCCAATCTGCCACTCTGTGTTTTTTTTAAAGGATAGTTATCTTTTTTAAAAAAATTAATTTATTTTTGGCTGCGTTGGCTCTTTGTTGCTGCGTGCGGGCTTTGTCTAGTTGCGGCGAGTGGGGGCTACTCTTCCTTGTGTGGGCTTCTCATTGCGCTGGTTTCTTTTGTTGCAGAGTGTGGGCTCTAGGCGTGTGGGCTTCAGTAGTTGTGGCACGTGGGCTCAGTAGTTGTGGCTCATGGGCTCTAGAGCACAGGCTTAGTAGTTGTGGCGCATGGGCTTAGTTGCTCCATGGCATATGGGATGCTCCCAGACCAGGGCTTGAACCCGTGCCCCCTGTATTGGCAGGGCCACCAGGGAAGCCACCAGGGAAGCCCCCACTCTGTGTTTTTGATTGGAACATTTAGTCCCTTGACACTTAAGGTAATTATCCATAGATTTGTATTTATTGCCATTTTAAACCTTGTTTTCCCATTGATTTTGTATTTCTTCTTTGTCCCTTCCTTTTTCTTTTTGTCTTCCCTTTTGTGGTTTGATTTTCTTTTGTATTATACTTGTGTTCTCTGTTTGGTTTTTATGAAAAATATGGAATGCTTCACAAATTTGCTTGTCATCCTTGCACTGGGGTTATGCTAATCTTCTTTGTATCATTCCAATTTTAGTATATGTACTACTGAAGTGAACACCAAACAACCCTTTTATTTTTTTTTTTATTTTTTATTTTTTTTTGCGGTACGCGGGCCTCTCACTGTTGTGGCCTCTCCTGTTGCGGAGCACAGGCTCCGGATGCGCAGGCTCATTGGCTGTGGCTCATGGGCCCAGCTGCTCCATGGCATGTGGGATCTTCCCGGACCGGGGCACGAACCCGTGTCCCCTGCATCGGCAGGCAGACTCTCAACCACTGCGCCACCAGGGAAGCCCAACAACTCTTAATGGTACTTACTTTTAAGGAGTCTGTAATTTATTTGCTAACTTATAAACCACAACTTAGTGTAGCCTAAATGAAAACTGCTTTGTGGAAATGCAAATGACTACATGGGGATAAAGTAGGAAGTGATTTATTCTTAAATGGAAAAAGTCAGGCATTGAGGAGGAGGGAAAGTTGTATGTGAACTGAATGTTGAAAGAAATAAAGGATAAAATATCATCTGAGAGGAAGAAAATTTTCTCTATACTTGTAGGTTCTGGCTGGTGTAAAAGTGAATTTGACATGAGGCAGATTAACAGGAGAAAATCAAACATTTAATAGCATGTGTGCATGGGAGAGACCCAGAGAAATTGAGTAACTCCCCCAATGGCTGAAATCTTCACATCAAATACTACCTTCAACTAAAGATGATAGAGGATGTTGGGGGTAGTTGTTTGAGACTTCAAAGGGGAGGAAGGCAATTCACATGGGGATGGAAAAGCAAATGTTTGCTAAACAAATGTTTGCTGGGTCTTGCAGAGACAGTGGGACACAGAGTGCGCTCTGATCTCTAAGAGTTGACCCTACCACACCTAGCCCGTATTCTTTGCAGAGATCTCTGGTGATAGCTCTGTTCCTGTAACAGTCCCTCTATCTAAATTATTCAGGAAGTTAGGGGAAAGGTCAAAGTCTCTTCCTGAGCATTTTCAGCCTTGATTGTTTTCAGCGTGAAGTAATATTCACGTCAAAGAGAAATTTTGTAGGGGAGCAAAATGTGTCACCCCAATACAAAAAATAAGGATGGGGATTTTTCTCTGAAGATCAGCATGAGCAAAGACAAGGGTGTATCAAGCCCTTTGCCATCCAATTCCATCTTCCTCCCCATCACCATACACTACATCTGTTAGTAGTCTGTCCTCCTCTATCCAGCTATCGCTCGGTTGACTCGTCCTTCAATTCAGCTTACCAGACCAGCTCCCCATCCCTGTCTTGACTTGTGACTTCTCATCCCACTGTGTTCTCAGCACCACCCATCTACAGCACTCAAGATGGAATGAATCCCTTCTTTTTATTTTCCCTAGAATTAAGAACGTCTCCCCTGCCGATGCGTATCGGGACTTCTGTCTGGCTTTCATTGGTAAGAAGAGTCTGACACACCTGGTTCTGGAAGGCAGTGTCCACGGTGATGAGATGCTCTTGCTGCTGTTGTGTGAGATCCTGAAACATCCAAGATGTAATCTGCAGTATCTGAAGTAGGTCTCCTGTCATTGCTGTTCTCAACGTGGAAAGGATGCTGTGAGCTCTGTAAACAAGAAAGAAGAGGGTGGCGGCCACTCTGATTGGGTACCATGTTAAACAGGGGAACATATTCTCACAGAGAATATGGATGGCACGTCAGCCTATAGTCCTTCCTCAGCCAGCTAGCCTCCTGCATTGAATAATGAGTCCTGAATGCAAGGAGACACTCAGAATTTTGTGTCATCTTCTAGCTTAGGGACATGGCATCTCAGGTTGCATGTTACCTACCTGTTGTGATTTGGAGTAGCCATCAGCCTTAATTGGTCACTCAGTTATGCTGTGGAAACATGGAGTGTTCTGGTTCCTGGTAGCTCACTGGTTTGCCAGATTTCCTTATCCTCAGCGAGATCTCGTAATGAGTGCTCTGATTATCATCACCCATCGTTAGGGTACCATTCCACCCCCCCTCTACTTAGTTGAGTAGCAGCGTGAGGTACTGGCTAGTGACACAGGTTTTTGGATTTGGGAACCTTGCTTTGACATTTATGACCTATATGATGTTGAGCTGTTCCCTCATCCATGATACGGGGTTTTGAGGATTGAATGAAACATGGGGTGTGAACTGCTTTGCATAGGCACCAGGCACGAATGGCAGCTCTTACCATTATGGATGATTTCTGATGGTGCTGTCTTTCATTAAATTAGAAAAAGCATCTATTACTCTGAAGTGTGTTTTTGTTTGTTTGTTTCTTTAGATTTTTATTCAGACAAGTAGACTTGACGCAAAAGAGTCTTGAGAAATGTGGGTAGTGAAATAACAATTGAAAGTACACGTTTTAAGCATGATATTAAAAAAATCAGATTACAGACTTAGATTTAGTGTTTATGTGTTTCATAAAATCTCAAATTTATAGAAAACATTCGTTTTGAAATTCTTGAGGAAATTATACTTCATAATTTATGGCAAAGATGTTTACTAGGTGACGTATAAAAGTAAATGTTTACTCTGAAGTTGTGATAAATGACATTTCTAAGTGGATATACCGAAGCTCCAGAATGACAAATGGCTGGTGCAGAATCTCCTGTTTTTTGCTCATTGATTTGAGACACTTTACATTCTACCTTGTATTGAAATTACGTAAACTTATAATGTCCTTGTTATAGATTAAGCTTTAAGGGAAGAAAGGTACTGATTTTAAGAACTCCAGTTTTGCTTATGACATACATTCTAATAGGTAGAGTATATGGATTGATTCTATCCTTTATTTGCATGGCAAAGTATCATCTCTCCCCAAAGAACAGATGAAGGGAAAAAAGAATATTAAAAAGTTTAACTAACTTGTGAATATTTTGAACATTAGGGGCAGAGCCATTATTCAAACAAGCTTGTCCTGGAGTCCTGTACTCTGATTTGTGTCTACAAGAGCAGCTGAGTTTCCAACCCAGTGTAATGGATTGCCTCAACGTTCTCTAAAATAGCTGCACCACATTTGTATTTCCATCAACAGAAGGAGTTTGCAGTTATTCTTGTTCTTGGAACACAAACTCAAACTTTGGACATGGCTGCCTAAGTGTCAAATTATATCTCCTTGTTTTAATTAGCATATTCCCTAATAACTTATGAAATTGAACTTTTTGAGTTTCAGGCATCAATTTTTTTTAAAAAGATTTTTTTTTGATGTGGACCATTTTTAAAGTCTTTATTGAATTTGTTACAATATTGCTTCTGTTTTACGTTTTGTTTTTTTGGTCCCGAGGCATGTGGGATCTTAGTTCCCCGACCAGGGATCGAACCCGCACCATCTGCATTGGAAGGCAGAGTCTTAACCAGTGGACCACCAGTGAAGTCCCCAGGCATCAAATTTTTTTTTTCAATAGAATCACATTTAAATTTAAGTGGGATTGGGATAGACTCAGGTCAGGGAAAGTGATAGAAAAAGTGGGGTTTGGGCTTCCCTGGTGGCGCAGTGCTTGAGAGTCCACCTGCCGATGCAGGGGACACGGGTTCGTGCCCCGGTCCGGGAAGATCCCACATGCCACGGAGCAGCTGGGCCCATGAGCCATGGCCGCTGAGCCTGCACGTCCGGAGCCTGTGCTCCGCAACGGGAGAAGCCACAACAGTGAGAGGCCTGCGTACTGCAAACAAAAACAAAAAAACAAACAAACAAAAAAAGTGGGGTTTGGGAAATAGGCCATGTTGGTGAAACTTCACACATTACTGATTTTTATTTTCCTCTTAGAGATGAGGCTGGATGATGATCAAATGGCCACAGAGATACTTGAAGAAGCAAAGGAGATCAGCTCTCTAATAGTTCAGGCCAGGGTTTGACGCATGTTGGAGCAGAATGACACGAGAATCAGGGATACAGTCTCCAAGCATAATTAGCTGACAAGGTCTCTTTGTCCTCCGAGAAGAATGACTTTCCCCCATTTATCCCGCAGGTTGGGTTCTTGTTCTGACACCCCTCAGCGGTGGGCTGATTTCTCCTCGGCCCTCAAAATCAACCAGTCCCTGAAATGCCTGGATCTCACAGCCAGTGAGTTTCCGGATGAGGGTGTCAAGTTGCTTTGTTCGACTCTGAGACACCCAATGTGCTTCCTGCAGAAATTGTCGTAAGTCTCTCCTCTCTTCCCATTTTAGGTCTGGGGCCACATAGAGAACAGCAATGGTAAGACCAGACTTACAGGGCAAACCCTAGGGGACCTCTTACAGATGGAGACCCCTGGTGCCCATTTTGGTCCCAGGTGGATGAAGCCTGCATTTTTGCTTGCCCTTGTCTCATTTCTGGTCCTTCAGGCTTTGATCACTAGCACAGGATAGAGAGGGTGGGGACTTGCATTAAGGGCTGTCAGCTGGGAAGTTTGGACTTCGGAAATGTCTTACCACTTACATGGTGCTTTTGCAGGTTGGAAAACTGTCACCTTACAGAAGCCTGTTGCGAGGAGCTGTCCTCTGCTTTGATTGTCAACCAGAGGCTGACCCACCTGTGCTTGGCCAAAAACAACCTTGGCGTTGGCGGGGTGAAAATTCTGTGTGAGGGCTTGAGTTACCCCGAATGTCAACTACAGACCTTGGTGTAAGTCCCTGCTGGCGCGCGCGCGCGTGTGTGTGTGCGCGCGTGCACGTGGTGTGTATTGTGTGTGCATGTGTGTATATTATATGTACATTCACACACCTGGATTCAAGTAGGACAGAAACAAGAGTACTTAATAATTCCACTTGAATAATTCCACTTGAATCCTGGTGGAAATTAGGGAAAGAGAAAGTTAGAAACAGATGTTAATGTTTGCATGTCTTTTAAGAGTAAGGTTGACCTTCCAGCCTCTTCCTATTCTGAGAATTTGAGATAAGCAGCTGATTCTCAGGTCCGATGTTCTGTGTATATTCTGAAAATTCACATGACATCTTCCAGCAAATGGGAGTGGATTGAGTTACATAGTAGGGTTCAAGACCGGAAAGGAAGCCAGGTGTTCAATTTATAGTGGCAGAGAGAGAAAAGGAGATCATATTTCTGCTTCAACGGTATTCATTAGAAGAATATAAAATTTTCCATATGATGTCACTACATAGACTGCTCTGTTTTACAGAGTTGATTTAGGCATCTAAACAACAACAAACATCTGATGCTTATAAGCACTTATTGTGTATCAGGTACTCTACTAAATTTTGAGAATTTTTTGGCCTTACAGCCACAAGCAATAGTTACCTTTGTTTCAGTTTTGCCAACTAGCTAATTAGAAAACCAAAGTTTAGCCACTTAGTTTGCCTATGGTCACATCTGTGTAGTGGGTATGAAGCCCCCTCTATAAACTGAGGTATCAATGATCATTACCTTAAATACATAAAGGCAATGTTTGACCAAACCTCCAGTTTGTAGGCTGTCAAAACTTAATTTTAGATTTTGTTTTAGCTTCTCTCCCCAAGCGCCCTAGATTCAAGTATGGTTTTCAGGTGTCACATCATACAAAGCATGGCATCTTTTGGTCCAGTTGTCATCCACCTGCTGTCTGTCATGTCACTTCAGGTCTACAGCCTCTGTCACTGTTAATGCCGTACGTGGGGCACAAGGCTTTTTAGGGATGATTGCAGGTCCACCTGCCTAACTGTACCATGGGAACATCCTTCTCTGGGGTCAGGAGGATTTGTAGGAGTCTAAGCTTGGAGGGGTCTGCAGTGTTTAAATTAGAGACATAGCCACTCGGATCATGAATGTTGTGCTTTTGATGTACCACAGTTACGCTGGGACAGTTAAATACAGGACTTGAAATAAAACATAAGACAGGGAGAGTGGAATCCTAATGACCTAACCGTGCAGAACATAAGTGAGGTCTCAGATTCAGTCTCAGGTCTGTCTGAATCCAGAGCCCTTCACCTACGTGATACGCTATCATGCTAGGAAAACCTGTATCTTAGGAGATGCGTGTCTGTTTCTCCATAATAAAAGGTGGCAGACAGAGGCCAGTTTAACACTGTACCATCTAGGCAGGGTAGACATACTGTAATCATCATTCCATGTGTTTTATGTTTTTATGTAGCCTACCTGAAAGCATATGGCTCAAGGTAGCATATAAGTGATGCTGGAAGTAACAGCCATTTCACAGGATGTGTGTCACAGAGGGATAATAGACTTCTCTTCATATGACTATAATTGTAGGTTGTGTCATTGCAACATAAACAGACGTGGCTGCAAATACATCTCAAAGCTTCTCCAAGGAGACTCCAGCCTAACAGACTTGGACCTGGGTTTCAACCCCATAGCCACTGGATTGTGCTTTCTCTCTGAAGCTTTGAAGAAACCAAATTGTAACCTGAAATGTCTAGGGTAAGTTGCTTTCTTCATTTTAAAGATGTTTTGGAAATATTTAATCTTTCAGAGATTTGGAATACAAACTGCGATAGTATCACTTTGTCCAGTTTCAGGAGCAAACCCCGGCAGAAATTGAATACAGGTAACTGGGTGCTGACAAAGTTTGTCAGAGGGCCAGAGGGAGTGGTTGTAAGTGGGAATAGCCTCTAGTGAAATAGACTTCAGGATCACACTCCTTCTGGTGGGGTCCCGTGATCAGGACACAGTGGGCCTACCCCAGTTCAGTACCCAGGGAACTGTAGATGGATACTACCCTCAGGATATGCAGTGGCCCCCAACAGGGCGGCGAGCTCTGAATCACTTCTCTCTTCCAAGTCTGTCAAAGGTATCTCATTGATGCAACCTACTTTGCAACCAGAAGCCTAAAGGAAAGAGAATCTGGGTTATATAAATGTAAAGACTTCCTCAGCCTTGAGCAGAGAGCACACTAGGATATACAGTGGTTTTGTTTACTATCCTGGCATCTTGGCTGTACCTGGGGAACTTAAAATTCTTGATGGTCATGCTTCCCCCAGATGAACTCAGTCTTGGAGGAAGTGGAGCCCAGGTATCAGAGTTTTTAAGGATATTCTGGTTGGTTCTAACACTCAGTCAAGTCTGAGCTCCTCTGAAGTAGAAGGTGGAGAGGAAAATCCATGGTATCCACAGATGGGAATTCATCTCTCTGGATCACTGAACACAAGCCCAGCAGCATAGCGAAGGCATTGAACAGGGGCTTTGACGTCAGAAGTTGGTTCAGATCCCATCTGACATTAATTAGCTGTGACTTAGGACATTTAACTCTTCCCTTACAGAATGGGCAAGTCTTCTCTATGACCCGTCCTGATAACGGCACAATTAATGCATTTGGTGAATTACTTTGTAAACTCATCAGCCTCATTGTACACATTTTTTTTTTTTTTTTTTTTTTTTTTTTGCGGTATGCGGGCCTCTCACTGCTGTGGCCTCTCCCGTTGCAGAGCGCAGGCTCAGCGGCCGTGGCTCACGGGCCCAGCCGCTCCGCGGCATGTGAGATCTTCCCGGACCGGGGCACGAACCCGTGTCCCCTGCATCGGCAGGTGGACTCTCAACCACTGCGCCACCAGGGAAGCCCTCATTGTACACATTTTTATATAACAAGCATGTGAATCCATATTTGCTACCAAGTCTCAGACCATGGTCTATGCGGGACCCCCTTCCTGTCTGTCGAACTTCATCTCATGCTTTTCTCCCCACCTTGGTGTGTACATCACTCAACTAGCCCCTCAGTTCCCAGAACCCACCCAATTCTTTCTTCCACTGCAAGGTCTTTGTCCTTAGTGTTTTTAGAAAATTTTTATTGAATATAGTTGATTTACAATCTTGTGTTCCAGGTGTACAGCAAAGTGATTCATTTTATATATATATTCTTTTTTGGATTCTTTTCCATTGTAGGTTATTATAAGATACTGAGTATACTTCCCTGTGCTATACAGTAGATCCTTGTGTGTTATCTGTATTATATATAGTACCATGTATATTTTAATCCCCAACTCGTAATTTATCCTTCCCCCCACCTGTCCCCTTTGGTGACCATAAATTTGTTTTCTATGTCTGAGTCTATTTCTGTTTTGTAAATAAGTTCATTTGTATTTCGTGGGTTTTTCTTTTTCTTTTTCTTTTTTTTTGACTAGAGCATACAGACCCTGGAGTTTGCAGGGCTGTCTGCCAATACTCCTCACCTTAGTTGTTTTGGGGCAGAACAAACTAGTTTTGATAGTTCAGAGGTCTTCTGACTATCCTATTGCAGCATGATCTGTTCTCTATAACAAATAATAAATTGACTCTAGTATTGTCCTGCCCAATCACCAGAACTATACATTTTTTAAACACTTATTTTTATGGAGGGGGAAATTCACACGACGTAAATGAACCACTGTACACTCAGTAAACAACTCAGTGGCACTGACTATACTTGTGTAACCACTGCCACTGTCCAGTTCTAGAACTTTCTCATCATCCCCAGTGGAGAACTCTATTCCCAGGAAGCAGTCACTCTCCATTCCCTTCTACTCCTGGCAACCACAAATGTGTTTTCTGTTCTAAAGATTAACTTATTCTGTATATTTCATATGTGGCTTTTTGTGTCGGGCTTCTTTCAGCTACCATAATATTTTCAAGGTTTTATCCACATTGTAGCAGGTGTAGGCATGTCATGCCTTATATGGCTACGTAATATCCCATTGTATGGATATACCATGTTTTGTTCATCCGTTTACTTGTTAATTTTATTTAGAGAGAAATTGAATCTATTTTCTGTATCTCCAGTGGCTACCGTAGTGCCTGGGGCAGCACAAGGATGGTTAGAGACTCTGGATATAGATAGATGTGCAGGTGGTGCAGTGGTCAAGGGCATGTGGCTGAGGGGTCATTCTGGCTTGAGTTGGCTAACTAGGGTATATATAAGCTGGCATGAGCTGTATCTACCCCAAAGAGGGTCTCCCTCTGTCCTCCACTGGCAAAGACATCTTTTAGTCTAGAAGGAGCTCTGGGAAAAGGAGATAAGGAATGGAGGCCATGGTAACATAATGCATTACTAGCTTAAATAACTCAACTTGCTGTAACGTCTAAGAGAATACAATCCTATTCTGTTCACTGACTCTCAGGCTTCTGCTCTTTTGTTCCTTTCATCATTTCACACCTCACATTCAAACTCTCTTGAGGCACCTCTTTCCAGATGCCTACGAGATGACCGTCTACCACCCCATCACCTATACCACTAACGCTTCGTCTGGGTTACCAGCTGTCATAGGGTTTTTTAAATTTTTTATTGGACTAGAGTTGATTTACACTGTTGTATTAGTTTCAGGTGTATAGCAAAGTGAGTCAGTTACACATATACATATACCCACTCTTTTTTATATTCTCTTCCCATATAGGTCATTACAGGGTATTGAATAGAGTTCCCTGTGCTATTCAGTAGGTTCTTATTAGTTATCTGTTTTATATATAGTGGGGTGTATGTGTCAATCCCAATCTCCTAATTTATCCCTCCCTGACACCTTTCCCCTCTGGTAACCGCAAGTTTATTTTCTACATCTGTGACTCAATTTCTGTTTTGTAAATAGGTTCATTTGTACCGTTTCTTTAGCGTCCACATGTAAGCGATATCATATAAAGATATTTGTCTCTGTCTGTCTGACTCACTTCACTCAGTATGTCATCTGGATTTATTGCATTATCTCTGAATGTAGTCTGCACGTTTCAGTTCTTGATTTCCCAGCATTGGTTCTCAACCCATCACCCCCAAGGTGTCTTTCAACTTGCAATCCAGGCCATAGCACTTGTCTTTCAAAAGACTCAAAAGCTCCTCGTATCACTGTGGATAAAATCTGAAGGTTTTATAATAGCCTACAAGATTCTCCGGGATCCTATAAATAGTTATGAGCCACTCTTTCTACTTTCCTGCTAGCTTGGCATTTCAGCTACCCTGGTTTCCTTCCCCCAAATATCATAATGGTTCACTCTGTATTTTACTTTTTCCCCCTTATATCATCTTTGCAGTGTGGAATTCACTGACCATCACAAATCTACTTAATCCTTCTCTCTCCTATTAATCCTAATCCTGTTTATTTTGTTCTGACACTGTCATCCCGTCTTCAATACAACGTGTCCTGATGTCACTAAAATAAGCTCCATGAAGAAAATAATTTTCATTTCTTTGCTGCTAGGTCCTCAGCAAGTAAGAGTATGCCTGGCAGCATGGTAGATTCTCCATAGGAACTCGCTTAAATGAGTGGGTTTCTGTACTTTCTCAACAGGCTCTGGGGCTGTTCCATCACCCCTTTCAGTTGCCAGGATCTCGCCTCTGCTCTTATTAGAAACCAGAGCCTGGAAACTCTGGACCTGGGCCAGAACATCTTGGGGCAGAGTGGAATAATGGTGCTCCTTGAGGCTTTAAAACAGAAGAATGGCCCCCTAAAGACACTCAGGTTGAAGATAGACAAATCTACCATGGAAATCCAGAAGCTGTTGAAGGATGTGAAAGAAAGCAATCCACAATTGACGATTGAATGCAATAATGCCAGAACAGCCAGGTCCTTATGTTGTAACTTCCTTTCCTGAAGGAAGATAACTCTCTTGCGTGTCCCCAAAGGGGGCCGTCTGATATCTCTAAGACATCTCATTAATGAAGAACGTCAAATGTTAATTACATTTGACGTTCAAATCAAAATGTAGATCAAAATGTAGAACTGAGCACTGGTTTTTCACCCTCTGGTTTCTGGTAAATTCCACACAAGTCACATACCCACTTGATGTTAAAATGTTTTCTCTCACAAGGATAATAAAAAGCAAAGCACTTTGTTTGATGCTGTACTTATTAATATGCCCAACAGCTAACTTAGGGTACACTTGGCTTACTTAGTCTAGGAAAAAATATTACAACGTTCATAGATGATTACGTGGGTTTCTTCTATTTTTCTGCCCTCGTGCAGTTATTTCTTGGCCTAATATAATAGTTGCCCAATGAGCCTACAGGATCAGTGTGGCTTGTGGTTTTCTTAATCAGTTTTATGATATTCTAATCCAGGAGTTGGTAAGCTTTCTCTGTAAAGGGCCAGCTAGCTGATACTGGGTTGGCCAAAAAGTTCACGTGGGTCTTTCCATAAGATGTTATGGAAAAACCCAAACAAACTTTTTGGGCTAACCCAATATTTTGGGTTTTGCAGGCTCTATGGTCTGTCATAACTACTCATCTCTGCCATTATAGTGTGAAACAGCCAAAGACAACACATAAGTGACTGGAAGGGGCTGCATTCCAATGAAACTTTACAAAAACAGGCAACAGGCCAGATTTGGCCCATGTGTTATGGTTTGCCAATTCCTGTTCTGAGCTACCCTGTTATTGAGAAGCATACATCTGACCACATCACTCTTCTCTTTAAATGTTCAGTGATTCTGTGTGTATGTAATCCATACCTGTTGCTGGTAACTCGTAGAAAAGGCTGGAAAGCCAGTTCAGAACTTTAAAAAACAAAGTCACCATTTGGTGCTAATTTCTAGGCACTGACAAAAGTGAGTAATCGCTCCTTCCTTAATTTTTCCACCAAACTTAAGAGGTAGGTGATAAGACTACCTTAAGTAGTCTTACACTGATACGGGAGTCTTTATTGATAGGGGACATTATCATAAAGCCCCAGTTACAGAAACAATGGCCTATAGTTAGTGATTCAGGTTGAAAGCTTAAACGACGCAATTTGTTTTGGATTTAGGATAACGTTTTCAGTGAACTTTTCTCCCCGACAGTTTTCACCTGATAACTATAAAACCCCCAAATTTCACATTTTTAGGTGAGATGAAATGTATTTTTAAAACTTTATGCTTGGGACTTCCTTGGTGGCACAGTAGTTAAGACCGCCTGCCAATGCAGGGGACACAGGTTCGAGCCCTGATGCCACGGAGCAGCTAAGCCGTGTGCCACAACTACTGAACCTTTGCTCTACAGCTGGTGAGCCACAACTATGGAGCTGGCGTGCCACAACTGTGGAGCCAGTGTGCCACAACTACTGAAGCCTATGCACCTAGAGCCCATGCTCTGCAATAAGAGAAGCCACTGCAATGAGAAGCCCACACACTGCAACAAAGAGTAGCCCCTGCTCGCTGCAACTAGAGAAAGCCTGTGTGCAGCAATGAAGACCAAACGCAGCCGGGTCGGTGGGGGGGGGGACCTTGAATAATTTAGCTGGTATACACTTGAAAGCTAACAGGTGTTATCCCTCAACATTTTGAAGATACTATTGCATAGGTTTTAGCCTTCGTTGTTGCTGTTGGAATATCTGCTCTGGGTCAAATTGGCATTTCTTTGTAGCATTTCTCTGTAGTCAGTCACCCCTTTATTCTGGCTGTTGAGATGTTCTCTTCGATTTGTCTCTGAGTACTGACATATTTAAGTATGGATATTCCTTTTATTTTCCTATTTTTTATTTTATGCTAGGGATTCAGAACTCTGGGAAAAAATTTGGCTTTTATCTCTTTATATATTGTCTCCCATTTTCTATGTCTTATTTTACCTTTCGTATCCCTTTCACATTATTCCTTCTGTGCCATATTTTTTTGTGGGTTAAACATCACATTAGTTCTTTCAACCCATCAGCTAGAAGATAAAGACCCCAAGTTAACATAGATCTATGAACTCAAGTATGGAGGTAGTGTGGCTTACCTTAGTTGCTCGTTGATCCCAGGAAGGACCCAATTTCTTTCTCTGTGTTGCATTGCCATCCTTAGCAGGCCCTTATTAAGATAAATCTGCTCAAACCCTCAAGGCTGCTGTGGTATTTGGGGTGACACTCAGCTGATACTAACTTAAATCAGGCTTTTGGATACCGGTGTTTAGTGGGACGTGGTTAGGCAAGGATTTCAAAGGAATAGATGTTGGAGGAATTGAGTATGGATCAGGAGTGATCACGGTATTAGAGGTGAGGCTGACAGAGTCAAAATTCAGCATTCTCCTTGAGTACAAAGCTCTTGGGTAGGATTTCTGTTTGTTTGTTTGTTTGTTTTTTTTTGCGCTATGCGGGCCTCTCACTGTTGTGGCCTCTCCCGTTGCGGAGCACAGGCTCTGGACGCGCAGGCTCAGCGGCCATGGCTCAACGGGCCCAGCCGCTTCGCGGCACGTGGGATCCTCCCGGACCGGGGCACGAACCCGTGTCCCCTGCATCGGCAGGCGGACTCTCAACCACTGCGCCACCAGGGAAGCCCAGGATTTCTGTTTTTTAAAAAAGATACAGGGACTTCCCTGGTGGCGCAGTGGTTAAGACTCTGCGCTCCCAATGCAGGGGGTCCGGGTTCGATCCCTGGTCAGGGAACTAGATCCTGCAACTAAGAAGTCTGCATGCCGCAACTAAGGAACAGGCAAGCCGCAACTAAGGAGCCCGCCTGCTGCAACGAAGACCCAGCACAACTAAAATAAATATTTTTAAAAAGATACAAATATAGTCGAGAGGTTGTGATTGACAATGTCTGGGCCAGACCCTCCCAGAATTTTTTTTTTTTTTGCGGTACGCGGGCCTCTCACTCTTGTGGCCTCTCCTGTTGTGGAGCACAGGCTCCGGACGTGCAGGCTCAGTGGCCACGGCTCACGGGCCTAACCGCTCCGCGGCACGTGGGATCTTCCCGGACCGGGGCGCGAACCCGTGTCCCCTGCATCGGCAGCCCCTCCCAGAATTTTTTTTTTTTTTGCGGTACGCGGGCCTCTCACTGTTGTGGCCTCTCCCGTTCCAGAGCAGAGGCTCCGGACGTGCAGGCTCAGTGGCCACGGCTCACGGGCCTAACCGCTCCGCGGCACGTGGGATCTTCCCGGACCGGGGCGCGAACCCGTGTCCCCTGCATCGGCAGCCCCTCCCAGAATTTTAAATACATTCTGATGGACATTCTGCAGCAGTTCATTACCCCCTGCCCCCCAAAGATCATGTTATTTTATCTATTTATAAAGAAGGAAACAGGGAGAGGACTCCCTGCCACTGAGCATGATTTTGCCCCCAATCTGGCAATGTCTGCAGACTTTGAAAAAATCATGGCATGATACACATCACATCAATGTTAGCATTTTCATCGTCTTCAAGTATACAGTTTAGCAGCATTCAGTATATTCACCACATGGTGCCACCATCACCACCATCTAGTTCCAGGACTTTTTCATCACCCCAAAAGGAAACGCTGTACCCATTAATCTACTTTGTCTCTACGGATTTGACTATTCTAGATTTTCCTGGGTCACAACCGGCTGTGCTACTGGCTTCTAGTGGGCAGAGGCCAAGGGTGCTGCTAAACATCCTACAATGCACACACAACACTCATCACCCTGAGGTTGAAAACCCCACTGCAGATGGACAGAATGTGATGTCTTCAGGATATCGCACCCTCCCACGGGTCCCCAGCTGGGTAAAGTAAAGACCTAGGAGGGGTAGTGTCTCTTCCTTCGAGAGAGCAGGTGTTAAAAACCTCAGCCTTGTGGTGTCAGGAGGGCCTCCCTCAGCATCCCAGCCTCAGTGCCTTCATGGCTCAGCTCTGCTGGGGCCAGAGGGCTTGAATGGTTGCAGAATCATGGCTCATCCTCTCACCATTCTGCTGAGTCTTGGTGAGTCCCAGAGAGAAGGTGGGGGACACCTTTTACTAGAAGTGGAGGTGAACTCTTGGCTTTGGGGTTGGTCTCACCAGGGCTCTCTTCCAGGCCATGCGTATGAGCCAGGAGACCAAGGCGTGGGAAGGCGAGTCCTTCCCCCGAGGGGATACTTATCTAACCTCTTGTGGGTTTTTGTTTTTTGTTTTGTTTTGTTTTGTTTTTTTTTCAGTACACGGGCCTCTCACTGCTGTGGCCTCTCCCGTTGCGGAGCACAGGCTCCGGACGCGCAGGCCCAGCGGCCATAGCTCACGGGCCCAGCCGCCCCGCGGCATGCGGGATCTTCCCGGACCGGGGCACGAACCCGCGTACCCTGCATCGGCAGGTGGACTCTCAACCACTGCGCCACCAGGGAAGCCCCTCTTGTGGGTTTTCTTTAGCAGTTAGAACACACAACATTTATCATTTTCTCCCTTACATAGGTGTAGTTTTTGGTACCCCAAAATCATTACAATAGTAACATCAAGGATCACTGATCACAGATAATAATACTAAAGCATAATAATAATAAAAAAGTTTGAAATAAGGCAAATATGACCAGAATGTAACACAGAGAGAAAGTGAGCAAACACTGTTGTAAAAATGGCACTGGTAGACCTGCTCGACAGAGTTGCCCCAAACCTTTAATTTGTAAAAAAAAAAAAAAAAAAAAAGAAAACCTGCAAAGCATAATCAAACGAGGTATGCCTGTATTTCAGTAGTTCATTCTTTTTTATTGCTGAGTTCACTCTTTTTTTTAAAGATTTTTTTTTTTTTGGTGTGGGCCATTTTTAAAGTCTTTATTGAATTTGGTATAATATTGCTTTTGTTTATGTTTTGGCTTTTTGGCTGCGAGGCACGTGGGATCTTAGCTCCCCTACCAGGGATCGAACCCACACCCCCTGCAATGGAAGGCAAAGTCTTAACCACCGGACCGCCAGAGACGTCCCACACTCTGTTTATTCTT